CCTAGTAGCGTGGCCATTAACTTGGCTTGGAGGCATGGTCACCGATTATGAGAGTTGAGTCATGGCCTAGTAGCGTGGCCATTAACTTGGCTTGGAGGCATGGTCACCGATTATGAGAGTTGTGCTATACCCCAGTAGTGTGGCCAATAACTTGGCTTGGAGGCATGGTCACCGATTATGAGAGTTGTGCTATACCCCAGTAGTGTGGCCAATAACTTGGCTTGGAGGCATGGTCACCGATTATGAGAGTTGTGGGAGTACAATACCCTCAGTATGGTGCCAAGAACTTGGCTTGGGTGCATGGGCATCGATTATGAGAGTTAGTCATGGCCCAAGCCGTGGCCAAATACTTGGCTTGGAGGTCACCGATTATGAGAGTTGTACCATACCAACCCCAGTAGCGATGACCAAGGCCTTGGGCTTGGGAGCGGTGGGCATCGATTATGAGAGTTGTGCCATACCCCAGTAGCGTAGCCAATGCCTTGCCTTGGGGGCGTGGGCATTGATTATCAGAGTCCAGTGGCGCTGGCAATAATCTGACTTGTAGGCGTCGGCATCCATTATGGGTATTCATTATAAATAAATCAGTGATGGCCCAAGCCAAAAATCTGGTTTGGGAGCGAGTCTACTAGTTATGAGTGATTGTTAAGTTAAGCCATGGCCCAATTCAGGTGTGGCCCAGTAGTGTAGTTGTGCACTCTGGCCTGGGTCTAGGTGGCTCAGACTGTTGTATAGTGTATATAAAACAGACGATTTCAGGTTTATAATTGTACAGATAGTCATGTATTGTTCTCCATGCTGTATGTCAATAATCTTACCATGATTATCTTTTAAACCAAACTGTTAAGGATTATTACCATTGGGTACAGCAAGCATCTGATCAGAAGCACCTTTTTACGAATCTTAAATCTTGTGGTGGATAAGGAAATTTACTCATTTGAATTATATAACTGTTTTTATGTCTTCGGAGTATATCAGTTTTTATACATACTGTACAGTCAGGGAGACGTGTGAAACATGTAAACAATAAGCTAAGCAAAACACTGCTCTCTAAATTGGAGAGGGTGGGATGTTCGGACCATTTGCACTGCTAAAATTGTTTATTTAGAATTAATTACTTGGAGGTACAAGAGAGGCTTGTAACTGGTAAACTAATAAATATGATGCATGAGGGTTTAGGGCATAGGCAAATATTTTCGATTTTGGGAAAAGGTCACTCTACATGGCTGCAGGAACATCAAAACCTAAATTCATTGGGGGAACAATATGAGTTCAATAGACGAGGGCGGTAACAAAAACATTATGTCAGTTACACAAATATAAATCGTTTCTTATTTGTTTGCACTGTTGAATAATTAGTTTTTTTCTTTACACTAATGCATATGAATATATTTTTTAAATGCAGTCGACTTACTCAGCTTCAGCTATAAGAAATGTAACATCGCCAGAAAATATTTTTGTTAATAGATATTAACACAGCATTGCAGAATGAAAATCAACCATAGCATTCGAGCAAAAATGCTAAAAAGGATAAACAAACTGACTTGCCTTTTACCAACATTTCCACCATATTAGTTCACTACTTAGCTGCAAGCAGTGTATAATTAATTTGATATACGCTCGTGTTTTTCCCGTCGTTTCCGAGCATTCAGCTCAATAATGTCGAAGTTGGGTTATAAAGCTGACTGCACTTGATCATCGAGTGTATAGGTGATTTCTGCTATGTAGGCTTAGTTTATGTTTGTTTGTTAAGGATATTGCTATGAACTGCAATGATTACAATAATGACCACTGAACTATGTCTTTCTAGTATATCACACCACATCTTGATCGGGTTGTATATATATATATATGTGTGTGTGTGTGTGTGTGTGTGTGTGTGTGTGTGTGTGTGTGTGTGTGTGTGTGTGTGTGTGTGTGTGTGTGTGTGTGTGTGTGTAGTGTGTGTGTGTTGTATATATATATATATATATATATATATATATATATATATATATATATATATAGAGAGAGAGAGAGAGAGAGAGAGAGAGAGAGAGAGAGAGAGAGAGAGAGATTAGGCATAGGTTGATGGTAGATTGCTGGCTTCAGTTGAACGGTCGCACCCGGTCGATTGTCTACGTCGAAAGTTCCCTCGTCATGAGCCCAGCCAAACACCTTAAAAAATAACAGCATGTATGTTTAGATATATATGTATATTATCTCCTTACATTATACTGTAAGTTTCTTACAAAGAAGCTCTGAATGTTGATGGATATTATAGTGGGCGTGTGTAATTCTAACAACATAATAATTATTACACTTATCTTATTCGGTGTTTGAAAGCTTGAAGCAGACATATTACTATTATTGTTTAAACGGTGGAACTAAAATAAATACATTTTTTGTTTTGCAGGGGTTGCCACAGACGCCAAAGAGTGGGGCGAAGTCTTGCCAGTACAACGGTTTGGACCATGCGTCGCATTCTGCGGAGTGGGCGGGCACGCCAGATGATGACAAC